TTTGTCTATTGGCTCACTCTATTACTCATTGCTTTTGATATTAAAATTCTGATTTGTTAAAGCTCTTCTTGCTATGACTATTTGGCATTTCTAGTTAACTATAATATTAATGAAGTCAGGGTGACGTTTGTAGGTTAACAGTTGTGTACAGATCTTTTGAAGTTTATCTCCATTAAATTATCATGCTCACCTGAACATATGAACTCCACATATGTGTCTACTGATTCAGATTATTGGCTCATCAAGGTTTCACAAGTCTTTTCCACAAGATTAATCTTTTCAAGTTTATATATATATATATATATATATATATATATATACTGTTGTGGTCAGAATTATTGGCACCCTAATTTGTGAAGCTCAATTATGTTTTGCTGCACAATAGAAATATATTCTTTGGTTTTTCTCATTGTGATGGATGATTAAGGGAATTTGGGCTTTGTTTTCCCTCCTATTTATATTCCTGTGACACAGGAAGCCATGGCTGGATAATTTCATGTTCATAATCACCCTGGTATGCTCAAAATTGTAAATATGAATGGGAATATACTTCACAGATATTTTACTCATAAGACTTTCTAGGGGTGCCAATAATTGTGTCCAAGGTGTAAAATTTTTCTGTAATTACAAAATACACCGTTAACTATGACATTGCAATGAATGCATACAAAGTGAAGAAACAAATTGTATTGCATCTTGCAGTACCCTGAGACAATAAACAATCAAACCTCTACATAAACCTATTAACCGTTCACAGATCAGCCTTCTCCTCATAGTGGCAAATGCAGGATGATCTTTGGCTATCCAGGTATGGCTTACATCCCAAGTGCATCACAGTATCAAAGAGCAAAGTCACTGTTGATTCACAGGCTGTGAAATTAAATATGGGTATAAGGTTTGACCTCAGCAAAATGTACAAGAAATACAGTAGGATATGCAAATGAAAAAAAAAATCTATATGTAAAATTTGAGCTGGGACGTTTTTGAAAATTGGATGATTTTGACAGAATGACCCATATATTTAGTACGTACAATGTATCAAAAAAGTGTTTACATTTATAAATCAAAGATAGTAAAAATAAAATAAATTAAATATCTTTATAAATATTTAATTTAGTACGTATTTAATAAGTTGCAAAGATGTAGGTATAAAAACAGCTGTGTATAAATCTTTAGCAGTGTGATTGTATGTGATTTTTTAAAAAAAATTAAAAAAAAAAGCATTGTCCACATTAATGTTTTTTTTTCTTCTTTTTTTTCCAACAAATGAAATTTTTTTATTGAAGTTTCTCAGGTAAAAATTTTCTGTTTTTCTATTTTATTTTTTTCTTCCTCAAGGACATGGGCCAACTCGCTGACTATCCTTGCTTTTGAAAAAGAAGAGTTTGGAAAGGGAGGCTTGAATACCTCTCTTTACTTTCAAAGTGACGTCTCTAAAAGCTGTACCGGCAGATTTATCACAGTCTGGTCTCGGGTCTTCATCTATTTCTTCTTGGTCACAATCCTTGAAGCTCATTTCATTGGCGCTAGCTTGAGTGGCGTTGCAAAGAGATGAATCAGTGTCATCCTGCATCAGCTCTTTCTCAACAGAAAACTGATTACTAATTCTAGGTGTGCAGGACCCAGCCTTCCATCTCCATAAGGTTAAGCTTTCGCTGGTCAAGCCATTATTTTGTGCCTTAGGACGCACCAGTGTGTAGTCGAGGATAACTGCAGATAAGACAGCTGTCAGATAGCTTACAGCTATTTCATTTTCATGCCATACTGACTTCAAGTAGTTCTTATGTGCCAGGATACCATGAGTTTCATTTACAATTTGTAAAACAACATGATTCTCATCAGGAAGGCACTTATTTCTAAGACTGCAGGTAGCAACATTAATTCCTGCCAGGTTTGCTAGTCCCTTTACCAGATTGGAGACAAGAGCATCAGAAAGATAAATGGCAAAAATGTCAGCAACCTCAAATTTTGCAAGCAGTCCATTAACAACACTTTCTACAAGATGATATGGCAAATAAGTTAAACCTTGAGAGGCTTCAGTTATTTCTTCTTCTTCTGTTCCTGACTGGCTGCTTCTTTCAAATGGAGCTTCATCAAGTATATCCTCAAGCTCCATCTTCTGTTCTGAATCGAAGGTCTTTTTCTTTATTCCAGGTCTTGGTGTGAACAGCTCATTCTCAGGGATTATGTAAGGCTTTGGAGTTTCACTTTTCAATCTTTTCAGCTCATACAGCTCCTCAAAGCATTTAGAAACGACATCCTCAAGCTCCAGTTCCTCCTCTGAATCAAGGTCCTCCACTTTTATTCCAGAACTTGGTCCAAGCATCTCATTGTCAGGCACTATATCAGGCTTTGGAGTTTTACTTCCCCAAAATTCTGACTCTTCAGTAGATTGTGCACCTGATTTCTTCCCTAAAAGAACAACAGGAATTAGCAAACAATTTTTTTTAAATTCGCAATCTGCTTTAGAATGTGTACAAAATGGCACTGCAAGCTGTAGTAGTGTGGCTGTTTTAGTTGACATGAATTATGAAAACTGAAATCATGGGGATTTTCCAGGAACAAAGCAGACAGTGGCATAAAAAGATAGATATGTTAGATTAATAAAATATTTAAAAAATTCATAACATAAACAGAATATTGTTATTGTATCAAAAAATAAAGTAAAATAAAATATTACTGTTGTATTATAAAAATAAAAAATATTGCTTGTGTCTATAAAATAAATAAAATAAAAAATATTGCTGTTGTTGTATTAAAATAAATTAAAATAAGAATAATGTTGTTGTATATAAAAAATAAAATATAATAAATATTGTTATTATATCAAAATATAAAGTAAAATAAAATAAAACATTTAATTTAATTTAATTAAATGCACTTGCATTGTTTTTATCTAACTTTTAGTATTTCATTATATTCCGTTTGATTTATGGTATTAGTGTCTCTACAGGCACCATAGTGACCTCTCAGATAAGTCACTAGAGGTGAATACTGTACATACACATCAAGTGAATGAAAACAGCATGTACTGTATACCTCGCCTGACTATCTCAGCAGCCCGCAGAGGATTTTCAGTGGCTTGATCCACGATATTCATTATCATATCAGTCACTGTTTTGCTGAGGATGTCCAGAGTTCTTCTCTCAGCTTTTGTCACGGTCCTGGGGCCAACAGAGTGCCAGTTCTCCTCCATGCGATCTTCATGTGGTGTGCGTGGCCATTTCAAGAACAACTTCAGGTGGTTCTCTGCTGCCCGCCGACAGAAGTATTTAAGCACGTCCATGTAGAATTCCCAGCGCGCAGGTATTTCAGTGAACATTTGACGCAAAAGCTCCAAGCACAAGTAATCGACAGGGAATGTCTTGCCCATGTCATTAGTCAAGAGCTCCTGGTAAACGCAGTTGATGAGATCTTTATTAAACGTATGGATTAACTCTTGCTTGAGGCAGCAGTCTAAAGATTTTAAGCTGTCTGATGGCTCAAGAGTTTCCAGAAAGCGCCTTTCGGACATGTTTAATAGATATTTGCAGTGTAAGAAATCCATCACTTGTGCAAAAACAGTCATGCCAATGATGCCTGCCTCTTCACTCTCAACACCTGAGATGTGAGCACCATTGCTCGTCCTGTCAGTGGAAGCGATAGGGCCGACACAGTGAGCGCAGTTACTATTGTAGGGCACATTAATGTTCAGTTTCTCCCACTCTTCAGCTCTCGTTTTAGCTTCCAAAATCATGCTCTCCTCTTCTCGCAGACAGAGAACTAGAGCCGGAAGGACCACATCCATGGACACTGTTCTTATCCACTCAACAATTTGCACAAACATATGGGCAAGTTTTGATTTAGAAATATGCTTGTCTTTGAGGGTCCTCTTGACAATATTGCGAGATCTGAAAATGGAGAAATTTATATTTTTGTTTGCAGGCCAGCTCTTGCATGTGCTTTTCTATATGATGGGATTGAACTTACTTGTTGGGTATCATTTGGAGCGGGTCAAACATATGCCATGGCGCTGGAAGCTGATGTTGTGTGGCTGTTTTGAGTGCCATGAATGTCTGAAAAGTTGAATCTCCATGGGGAGTTTCCATGTGCGAAGTTTTTTGAGCTGACACCTAAGCAGACAATAGAACAGATATGTTATAGATAGATAGATAGATAGATAGATAAACAAACAAATAAAGACTTAAAAAATAAATAATCAAATATTGCTTTTGTATAAAACGTAAATAAAATGATGTAGCCAATTTCTACATTTTCTACAAGTTTCTCCAGCTCTAAAACATTGAACATGCAGGAAAAATCCAAAAATGAAAACCGTTATTAGACAGTTCAGAGCTGTATAATTTTGCAGTAACCAGATAATTATTTACATTGTATTTTACCAGAGAATTTGTGTTATATATTGACCGCGACCTTTGCTTATTAATGTATTGCTAATTAAAAGTCATTAGCTACTTTTCACACATCTTTAAAAAATTTTTACGTTATACCTTCACAAAAATGGCCGTTTTCAGCATTCAAAACAATAACAACAAACTGTGAAAACATGGTCTTACCTGAGCAGTTATAGGTGGAAGTTCGTTTTTTTTTTTTTTTTTCAACTCTAGAGTGCCCATGTCAATTTCAAGAAAAATCATTGATTTGGCAGCTTGGGCGAGTAACTGTTTTTGAATGATTTTTCTACATCCTATCTGAAAGATTGATCGAAATGCTTCAAGAAATTGAATCATAACATGCATTGAATTATATGTGTGCAAATGTGTAGCCTACCATTTCCGTTTTGGGTTAAAATATAAATATTGTTAGATCTTTACCTTCTAATAAGTGTATAAATAATATAACATATAATAAGTGAATAACGACAAGTATTATAAGAGAATAGCATAAGCCTACGTGGTCACCAGATGCTGCTCACTCTTCAAATGAGAGGTTTAGGTTGCTATGACGACTAATGCGTTCCTTCTCAACGCGGTTCCACAAAAGAACCAGTAGATGGCGATGATGGTCTTTTGACGCAAAATATCCAAAGAAGAGAAGGACTTCACAACAGCGCACGGCACGCTCGTAAACATTAAACTGACATTCTGAACTGGTGCTTTCAAGATCCTCGGACCAACTGTAAAAACCGAAAATAAAGTTTCCGGTATGACAACGCTTTTACGATTCCTTGTTACGGTAGGTATGTCATTCCACCAGGAGGGAACAGTTAATGAAAAAGTCCGTGAAAGTGATTTTGTGCCTCTTTGAGATGGCACAATAATACGCCGTTCACTTGCAGAACGCAAGCTTCTAGAGGGCACATAACTCTGATTGTATTATAGTATGTATTATAGTAACGTTAACTTAACCAACTATAGTTTATGATTTATACGTGTCATTATTACCACTGTAAACGTAAAATATATTATATCTGATTAGGAATCTAATATTTTATTATGCATTTATTCAGTGATTGATTCACATGGATTATAGTAATCAACTAAAGTTTATGCTGTGCGCATGTATTGTTATCATTGTAAATTTCTAATGTGTTAAATTTGATTTGAGATTTCTCTAATATTTTATGAATGTATTTTTTTTTCCATGTATTTTTTTCATTCATATTGATCTTATGGATTGTTGTTAAATGCTTGAAAGATTTTGATTTTTGGTCACTACATTATTCCTAAACTTAGAGTAGAGTGATGTTATAATAACAAACTATAGTATATGCTATATACATTTAGTATTATTATCACAGTAGATTCATAATATATAAAATTTAATTTGTAATTTTTTATGTATTTATTCATTCATTTATAGTTACTTGTAGTTATAGTTATTGTGGTTAAATGTTGCTTGTTTTGATTTTTGTTCACTGCAAACTTTTATTTGTACCAATCATTTTTTATTACTTACTGATTGTTATTGTGAAACGAATGAATGACTAAATGTGTTCAAACTGGTGTTGTACCTATACAGACTGATCATGGATGTGCCAGAAGCCAGTCATTCTCAAGATGCAAACTCTTCAAACTATTCCAGTGTGACCTTAACACCACACATGTTGGCCAAAATTGAAAGGAACAGACAACGGGCATTAATGCTCAGGCAAGCCAGGCTTGCAAATAGACCATCCTCAGCTCCAGAAGGTTTGCCATGTGTTAACAAAACATATATGAATTTGCACAAATTTCACTTTATCATGTAGCGTGTACAATAATCTGTCTTTCCTCAGGAGCTACATGTGCTAAAGTGTCAAAAACTATAGACTCGGGTGCAGGCTTCTTTATTGAGGAGGAGACAACAGAGGAGGAGCAGCAGGGAAAGAGAGTGGTTGAGCAACCAGGTAATCAAAAATGGCATCACTAACCAACATATGCATGTTTTTCCATTTGTTTTTAACTGAAGTTGAAAATTGTGTGTTTTTCTGCACCAGTGATGGAGCCTGATTATCTAATGCGTGAGGAGTGTCTAAAACCATTTATGGATTCTTATCTCAGCAACAGTTTTGATCTATCTGTGTGTGATAAATGCAGGTATGGCATCTATATATAGTGGTTAAAACATACCTTTAAATTAGTGTTACAGAGCTAACTGAGTTTACTGGCTGAAGCTGTTATTACTGTATTTATCTTATTGTTTATCTCAGTATTTCAGTTTCAGTACTTCGTTGTGTTTCCTGTGCACCTGCAGTTCAACAGCTGCTCAAAACAAGCACTGTAATGTGTATGTGTATTTCATTTTATAATTGCATATGTTTGCATAGAGACAACGAAGTGAAGCACAAGCTAATATCTCGCACGGAAGCCAAACAGAATTTCCTCCTGAAGGATTGTGATCTGGATAAGAGGGAGCCACTGCTGCGATTTATTCTGAGGAAAAATCCTCACAATCCACGCTGGGGAGACATGAAACTCTACTTAAAGACACAGGTAGGTTCAACACATCCAAATATTAAACTAAAATCCATGCTTAGGATAAATAAAAAGTTAGAACACCATGAAATAAAAACATGCAAAAATGATAAAAAAAAAACATGTTCCCAAACACTCTTTGCTTTATGTATTATAGTACCGTTAACTTAACCAACTATAGTTTATGCTTTATACGTGTCATTATTACCACTGTAAATGTAAAACTGCTGCGATTTATTCTGAGGAAAAATCCTCACAATCCACGCTGGGGAGACATGAAACTCTACTTAAAGACACAGGTAGGTTCAACACATCCAAATATTAAACTAAAAGCCATGCTTCGAATAAATAAAAAGTTAGAACACCATGAAATAAAAACATGCAAAAATAATTATTTAAAAAAAAAAAAAACATGTTCCCAAACACTTCTATGACTTCACATCTGCCTTTTTAGTCTCAAACTGTACAAAAAACACACACCATTAGTTAAGCCTGAAGGAGAAATATTTTGAACATTATAAAAATTTTCATTTAATCTTTTAGAGTGTCAAATTGATTATAATATTATGGGTACACTTCACAACAAGGGTTTTTACATTAACATTAGTTAAAACAATAGCTAATATGAAATTGTTATGATTTATTAATTTTGGTTTATTTCTTCGTTATATCATTTAAAAAAAATGTATGTTTCCGAAATAAGTGCTCGTGATCACCAAATGTACAATTATTTGAACAAAATTATCATAAAACAGTATGATAATGTAATTGTAAATGTAATTTATTCCTGTGATGGTAAAGCTGAATTTTCAGCATCATTACTCCAGTCTTCAGTGTCACATGATCCTTAAGAAATCATTCTAATATGCTGATTTACTGCTCAAGAAACATTTCTTATTATTATTAGTGCTGTAAAAAGTCATGCTGCTTAAAATTCTTGTGATTTTTTTTTTTTCCACGATTCATAAAATCTTAAAGTTGAGCAAAGAACATATTTCTAAAGAACAGCATTACGTTTTTTAAAAATGTAAAATTAAATTTAAGTTAAATTAAAGACCATCGACTCTACCGTGCGACTCCACCGGGCACACATCCAAAAACGTATTTTAAATGCTAAATTTAAATTTAAATGTTTTAGTTTTGAAGTGTTGTTGTATGCATTTGTCATTTTTATTTAATTTCTTTTATTTTCTTAAATGTGTGTATATATATATAGTATTTATAGAGTTTTAGCTTTTAGTTTTAATTACTTTTTCTTATTTGTAAGTCGCTTTGGATAAAAGCGTCTGCTAAATGACTAAAAGTAAAAGTAAGTTGCATAGTTTGTTCGGTTTTGTTTGTGTATAAATACTGTATACCATATTTTTATGAAATTTAAGGTGGTAAAGCGCTCTCTGGAGGTGTGGGGCAGTGAGGAGTCTCTGGAGGAGGCCAAAGAGAGCAGAGATGAGAACAGGGAGGTGCAAAAGCAGAAACGCTTTAATAAAAAGGTTAAAGGTATGAATGCTGAGCAGTCTAGTCAGTTACTCTTTGACTGTCAGATTTTAAATATACACTAAAAACTTATTACACTTAAAAAGACTGTACGTTTAGAGAAGTAAATAGCAATCATAGAAAAAAAATCTGTTCAATGTACTTATTAGACAAAGAAGAACTAATGAAAACTTTAAATGAATAAGTTGATACTGGCTACATTTGGTCACAGTGTGTCTTTATACATTGCTCTCCATCTTCATCTGGCTTTCAGAGTTAAGGTGGGCAGTCAGGAGCAGTATGTTTAAGAAAGATACCAGCGTTCATCAGCATGTTTACGGCCCTGAGGAGCTGCTAGACGAAGAGGAAGATCTCTACAGGAAAGTGTGTCAAACATGTGGACACGAACTCACTTTTGAGAAGATGTAAATATGTCTTGGAGGTCTCACTGCTGTGGCTACTGTTCAGGGAAGAAGCACGGTCCGGATCCAGGTCAGTGAAGAGTAACAATGATCTTGCTTCTGGTCCTCGACACATTCTCTTGGCTCGCAGTCCAGGTACCAAAACAGGTTTGCATCAGTTTCCACTTGAACCAATTTGGAGTATCTGAAACTTCTAACCAACATAGAGGTGCTGTATTGTGTTCTGAAGTTGCCTTCTGAAGTTTAGAAATGTCAGCATTAAAGGAGTAGTTCACTTCCAGAATGAAAATTTCCTGATAATTTACTCACCCCCGTGACATCCAAGATGTATATGACTTTCTTTCTTCAGTCGAAAAGAAGTTAAGGTTTTTGAGGAAAGCATTCCAGGATTTTCCTCCATATAGTGGACTTCTATGGTAGTCAGTGGTTTGAAGGTCCAAATTTCAGTTTCAGTGCAGCTTCAAAGGGCTCTACGCAATCCCAGCCAAGGAATAAGGATCTGATCTAGTGAAACGATTTGTCGTTTTCTAAAAAAAAAAGAGAGAAATTTATATACTTTTTAACCACAAATGCTGGTCTTGCATGCATGACATAGACAAAAGTACCGACCTATTGTTTACAAAGCGAACGTGCAAAGAAAGTCAAACGCCCTTTACAACAAAGGTAACGATGTCAGACAATTTTGATGTTGGAGGAGAAAATAAGAAGGACTACCCTACCTTTTTGAACCGAAATACACAGACGAAGAACTAACCACGCCAGTGACTTTTCCAACGTGATTACACAATGCGTGAAGACGCGCTTGCGCATCGCAGAGCTAGTGCATGACGAGCATTTGTGGTTAAAATGTATATAAATTTGTGTTTTTTTTTAGAAAATGGAAAAATCGTTTCGCTAGATAAGACACTTATTCCTCGGCTGGGATCGTGTAGAGTCCTTTGAAGCTGCATTGAAACTGCAATTTGGATCTTCAACCCGTTGGCCGCCAATGAAGTCCATTATATGGAGAAAATTCCTGGAATGTTTTCCTCAAGAAACTTAATTTTTTATGCGACTGAAGAAAGAAAGACATGAACATCTCGGATGACATGGGGGTGAGTAAATTATCAAAAAATTTCCATTCTGGAAGTGAACTACTCCTTTAAGATTAGAGTGTGTCACACTAGATTAGATCACAAGAGGGCACTGTAGAGCTACTGGTTTCAGAAAACTGGATGATCAAAATGATAGATGATGTAAGGTTGAGTTCTTTTTTTATTTTGGGTTGAGCACACTGTTGAATATACTCTAAATCTGTGAAATGGAGAAGAAAATACAAATGATAATATATTAAATATTACATCCAATCAAGTGTTCATTTAAAATGTAGGATGTGTTGATTACCAAACATCTGCCCTTTCAATTGTGAGATTATCATTCCTGATTATCATAATGATGAGGCAAAAGCACCAAACTGGTCCAAAGTTGAACCGGTAACAGGATCTCTTTTCTCACTCTCCTACCTCGTAAAGTCCAGTGCCTGTTTGTTCAGTGAGAGATATTGGTGATAGAGATTCTCTCACGGTGTTGTGTTTCAGTCTGTCTGTGTGAGTATTGAAAGTATCAGGCTTCCTAATTCACAAGAAGCACGAATGCACTCATTCCTTAATGGCCACTTTTTTCCTCACCTTTCATGCCAAGGTTGGCTAGATACTTTATGCTGTATTTGAAATAATGAATTTAGTCAATGAAATGTGTTTGTAATAAAAAAAAAAATCTTATTAGAAAGTGTTTCTCCATTCTGAGTTTACATTGCCCCTTATCAGCTTTTATTACTGATGACCACTCAATGACCACAAACATGCATATTATTATTCTTCAGGGACTCCTACTGTATGATCGGACCACTTGCCTAGTTTTATCACGGCGAAGCCTGCGTAAGTGAGTAAGAGCGTGAATGTGTGAACGTTACTTTTGTCATGGTGTCCACTAAGGCAGGGTTACACATGCCATGCATTGCTGCCATTATTTGTGTTCGCCCTATATCTTGTTAGCTTTTTAGTCTTTGGCCTCTTTGGGCCACTGTAGAAACGAAGGACAACAATGTCCTGAAATGTCAGTAATGCGAAACATATGTTAAAATAATTTTTTGGTTAATAAAAAACTACTAAAGTAGTTTATGTGGAATATGTATTATATACTACTGTTTAGCAAGATTTTTATTTTTTATTTTTTAACAGATTTTTTAGTCTAACAGGATTTTCATGCTCACACAGGATGCTTTTATTAGATCAAAAATACCGTAAAAACAGTAATGGTTTTGAAGTATTATTAAAATTTAAAATAACTTTTCTGTTTTAACATTTTTACAAATGTAATTTATTTCTGTGATGGAAAAGTTGATCATTACTCCAGCTTTCAGTGTCACGTGATCCTTCAGAACTCATTCTAATGCTGATTTGCTGCTCAAGAAACATTGCTTATTATTATCATCAATATTGAAAACAGCTGAGAGCAGAGCTTGTGGGTTGGTTTTCCATTAGCTCTTTCTCGTAGCTGTTACCATAATTTAAAAGACACATGTTCACTCCCTCAGACTGTAAATGTTCCTCCCATGGATTTAAAGGCGTGCATGTTCATTTTGTCAGGCTATGTCAAAACTATGGACTCATGTAAACTATGGACAAACTACGGATGCAAAAGTATTTGACAGTGTCAACGTCACAGACGGTAATTAATTCATTCCTCAAGCTCCTTTAGTGGGGCATTTTTATTTATGTTCTCATGCCTGGTGCGTTCTTATGACCTAATTGTGAAGTCCCAGCATTGCAGTTCTGAAATTCAAAACCCTCCACGCTTTTATCATCATTCACACTGACTCAACTAATGCACACAGGGACATGAGACGAGCTGCCTGCTAAATTGTCCACCTGCAATTTCACAAGTATTGTAATAATAGATCTGCTGTTTGTTGATTAGTTACAGTTGAAAACATAATAATATATAGCATAGCTTAATTTGAGCTTGAACATAAACTACAGAAGAGCTTGATGCATTTACACATGCATACGTTTATTTAGTGCCATGTAACGCTGTTGATTTTTGTAGATAGAAATTGCCTAGTGTCTTTGCATTGCAGCTGATGTCCCATAACCTCTGCTGACCTTTGGGGTCAATGTAAGGCCGAAAGACCAGCAAAGCACAGCAGAGTGAGAGAGAAAGAGAGAAGGACATACCACGCTAATGCCTGTGCTTTGATTAATGGCACTCATGATTTGCCACCTGCTGTTTTATATGGCCCTCTGTGAGTAACTGATCTGGAAGTGCTTGCATGTGTGGCGTCCCCATTTTAAATAGCTGCCTAAATTTAACAGCTTTGTGGAGGTCGTTAAAAATTCGGACACCGACAAGTTTGTAAGCAGCGTGCGTTCTGGTGTGAAAAGGGCTGCTCTGAACTGCTCAGTGTAGTCTGTTATATATACAGCTGTCATAGTGGATCCATCTTTTACCCTTTCGCACACGTGATGGTAATACACAAGATGCGAGATGTGTGCGGGCCCATTTACTCCATATGCAAATGCTTTACATACTGTTCTAAATAGCCTCGTACCCGACTCCTCCACAGCTCTGGAGGATAGATTAACCACTGGCAGGGAGGGGTATGTGCAGCCTGGCATCTTTCTCTACTATGATTCTCTACTAAAGAAGTTTAGATCTCTTCCGCTGCAAATGCTTAAAAAGTACACTTGTTTTGTGCAAAACAAAATAAACAAAACCCCACATTTTTTGCAAAAGTTTACATTTTATTTAGTGTTAAATTAAAAGTTTATAACAATGTTCTTAATCAGTAAAATTGATAAACACTGTAAAATGCTTCATTCAAGTACTTCCAAATATGAGTAATTGATAATTTTCAGTTAAGTTCTATATGTTTTTATTAATCCAATAGTTAATATAAAATATGAATAAACAATATTTTACGGCACATATTATCCTTGGTAAATGTTAATTTCTACACATACTTATACATTTTTACAATTTAAAAGTAACATTAGTTATTGTATTATGAATTCAAATGATTTAAAATTTAACAGTACAATATTTATAAATGAACATTGACTTAAAAAGTTTGATAACTAATCCATTAATGAATGTTAAAATATTAAACCTTACTATAAATATGTGTATATAAATGTATAGGATTAATAACATTTTTCCATTTCTGTCTGACAAAATGTTAGCATTTCTAAATGTTGGCATATTATTTGAATGTCAGTTTGTAAATAATTTATTATAGCTAATTGTCACACTTTTTATTTAGTCTTAACTTACTAATATTTCTATAGGTTTATTTTTGAAGGGCATTTTCTTGTAATATTGAACATTTCCATGGTTATTGTCTGGAAAACCTATAGCGGTCCTTTATGCCAATTAGGATTTATTGTGGATAAGCTACCTTAAGTTTTACAAAAATATGGTAATACTGTAACTTTATTTTGGAAATTAAAATGAAAAGAAAATCTCCTGATTTAAAAGTTACACTGATTTACTAGGTGATTAAAAGTTTTTAACTTTGTGTTTGTAACCAACATACAAAATAGAAAATTACTGGACTTTTGAATTTATTTACTGAGAAAAGTTAACAGTTTTTGAAAGTTCCCCATGTGACAACTAGCCCCGATCTTTCACTATTTACTTTAAAGTGTTACCAAGGTCAAAATTTCACATTGCATTTTGAAAACTAGGATTTAAAGGCGAATGTGCTGTTATTAGACTGGATATCACCATCTTAGATTTATTGTAAAAGTCTGTATAGCCTTCTTTCTTAATGAAAGCCATGATTTCAGACTGTCATATCCCTCACACCTCTGCAGTTGTTCTTTTCTCTCTCTCTTTGTTGGTTTGTGCTTCTCATGTCTCTTTCCCAGGGCCAACTTGCCTTCTGTATGGTTGGCAGCAGGCACTGGCTCTAATACGGGCATGCAGCTGTCGTGGCCCAGAGGCAGACATTGATAACATTCAGTTGACAACAAATGTTTCTATACTCG